ACGTTAGCCCTGCTGAATTATAAGTCTACATCCGAAACACAATGCGCGCTATTTTCACTTCTACCCCTCCACAGCGAACGCGGAGCGGCGCATAAGGCGCCCTGAAACTGCACGCCAAACGCCAGACGGGAACTCCATTCCTCCTGCTTCACTACAAAAACAAACAGCTCACATTATATCGACACGAGGAAGAAATAACGAAAAGAGAAAAGAGCCACAAAAAAAACGCGGGGTTCAAACCAGGAAGCCGCCTATGCGATGTGCACTATTCACCCAACATGCCCCATGGATGATTCCGGGCCGCCCAGGCCGGCACGGTAACGCCGATTGTGACCTTCACGATTTACGGTCTCGAGACAGAAAGCAACTCCTCGATTTCTTCTTCTTCTTCTTCTCTTCCTCCTCCTCCTCCTTCCTCCTCCTCCGCACACGAGACGACAAGGGCGCGTTTCCTTCCCCGAGTGATTCTTATCCGATTCTCCCTCGCTCGAGCGCGAACAACCTCTCCCTTGATTGTTCCGGCGCTTCGAGCTGCAAAGGAGAAGACAACCCCTTGACAAAGAGTGGAGGGGAGAGAGAGGGGGAGGGAGGGAGGAAGACGATGGAGAGGGAAAGGGGGAGAAGGGGGAGGGACGAGGAAGAAGGAGAGACGTTAAGGGAATAAGGATAGGAGAGAGGAAAAGAGGCTGGTGAAGTTCTGTATTCGGTATGCTGCCTCGTAGCCGTGAGACGTGATCAGAAGCAGTATGCCTGATAGTCCAGACGTGCGTTGGAATGTTAGGGAGAAGGGGTCAGGAGGAAAGGTTTGAGGTAATAGAGAGGAAGGAGAAGGGAGGGAAAGCGGAGAGAGAGTGCAGTGGACGAAGATATAGTAAATATGAAGCTAAAAAGGAGAAGACAGTCAGAGGAGATGCAGATGAGATAACAAGGGAAAAGAAAATTAATAAGAGAGAGAGAGAGATGATGAGAGAGAAGAGAGAGAGAGAGAGGAGAGATACTCGAGAGGAGATGAGAGAGTAGTTAGAGAGATGAGGAGAGTGAGACGCGTATGACTTGATGGAGAAGGCGGCAAATTGGCCAGGCGTTCCTCCTCTCGCACCGCGCGTAGATCATGAACATCTGTCTCCTCCGCAGTTTGGTCAGATCCAGCCTCCGGCCACCATCTCTCGCTACATTATCCGCTCACATCGCGTCGGTTAGAAAACAGACACAAACAGTGCACGAATCCGTTAGCAAAGTGGCAGGATACGGCGCTGGTTCTGCTGGTTCCGATATGGCTTCGAACCAAACGAATCCATAACACACAAAAAGACCCACATCGCTCCGGTTTTTTTTGCGAAACAGGACTCGAAATTTAAATAAACGGACAGGAAAGAAGGAAAAAAAATCTTCACTCGTAGGAACGGACACATCAAAACTAATCAGATTAAATCAATCTAAAAGCAGCAGGATTTATTGATAACGTAGTGCCGGCCTCGCGCCAAATCAATTATTATCTAGCCAGCTTTTCCTTATATGTTTAAGAGGAAGCTTGGTCTGATGATATGTGATTGTCATTCTTTATCCTAGGCATGTGACCCGCTCCTTCCTCGGTGGGGACTGTGATGATGACTCCGCACCCAACCCCGTCGTCCTTCTGTACTGACCCATTACAGTAACCATGAGCCGTATCTAGTAACATTAGACTGTTCATCTAATGGCCACACTTTGCTTTAAGATAACCTGGCTAATACAGGGATTTCATACGAGGAGGATTGGCATTTTATGCTAATATTCTTATCATCCATGATGGCTTTAGTAGGTCTAATGATAATGAACAGCATTCCTTCAATCAAAGTTACATTTCAAGTACTCTATGAATTTTTTTTTTTCAGTTATCCTCGCTTGCCTTGCTATTAAAGCATTCTATATTACTAAAACTTGATGGCCATATCTCTCTCTAATTTCTTTTTCTTTCAACTGCTTCCCTCATCTTGCATGGATGGCCGCTATTCCATTTATCTCACTCACTCTCTGTACAATATTCTGCAGTTCTCTCTCTGCTCTCATTGTTCCATCCTGGTATTCCTTTGGCACCCAGTGATCATTCACATAGCTACAATCTGAATAGTTTTAAGTTTTCGGAGCTTGACAGGCGATAGAAACTGCTGATGCTGCATGAGAACATCGTTTTTACATCGTGCTGTATATACAAACATCAGTTAAGATAAACGTACACAGAGTAAAATAAGAGACCATGAAGCTTAATGCAAATGAGGTTTCAATACCACTATACGCTCATCGACCGGAAAGTAACCGCTCATTACCGAGGCTGAAGGTCTGCTGGACCGATGTTGGACTAACCTGTGCTACGCTCGCCGACGTTTTGGCCCCCATATGAAGGGGGGGCAGCTGTGGGCTCAACATCCACCTATGGGGTTCCTTGGGCATTGTTCCCACAAGCATCACACTGGGTTTGGCGGCTGCGAACGCAGGCGGGACGAGTAACTCGCGTTGGTCG